CCGATGTGAGTGTTGACCCCGCGATTACTGGGAAACCATCGAGATACCGGCGGACGCGTTGCTACAGCTATCTATGGTGTGGCCGCGCGCGAGTGCTTTTTAGGAATAGAAAGAATCGGCCGGTGAGAAGCCGGATTGAGAAAGCCGAGTCGCCGTCATCAGCGCGTCCTCACGGTGAAAAACATGAAGGAGAACTCACTCGCTCGTGCCCGCGGCCGTGTCGCGTGCTAAGCCGCACGCGTTGTTCGGAAAATAACCATTGCCGTCGTCGAATACGGCAGGCGGATGCGTGAAGCGCAATCAACCGCCGCGTTTCGCTGAAATCTCGCGAGCTTTCGACGCGAAGGAGCGGCGCGTTTCCCCAACCGCGGAGAGGGTTCAACCTGATATTCCGATTCCCCAACCGACGCCGACCGCGACGGCGCGGCAGATGACACACGCGGTCACCTCGACCTCGGCGAATGACCGTGCGAAATGTTATCGTTAATAATATATACCGTGTGTCAATTTCGCGGCTGCACTGTGAGTCATCGGCTGAAAGATGCGGAATGCAAAATGAAGTAGGCCAGGAGAAATTTGATATCGCGCGGTCGGCCGCGGTAATAGCCACGACACCGTCCCAGAAATCCCTTTTACTTACTCCTGCACGACCGATGTAACTTTATCGTTATAATTATCTATACGATATCGTGACGGAGCGGGAATTCCTGCGCATCGCTCGCGTACCATCGCGCTCGCAATTGTTGCTCGCTCGGTGAGAGACGACATCAGGGTCCGCGGCGGCGGATTTCACACGTGGCACGGACACCTCGCGGATCCATTTTCAACATGCAAGATAATATTAGCCGGCTAGAAAGAGGCAAGAGGACGGAGACGAGGGGGAGCACGAGAGCGCGGGCGCGCGCGAGTGAGTGACTTTGCGCAACTTTCCTGCGGCCGGCATTCGCGCAACCACCGCCGTTAATAAGGTGTTAGCCTGGCTGGCACATGATCGAGAAACACGGGGCATAGGATAGGACGTTGCAACAAAGCGACGGTGACGGGTACAGACGAGCCATATCCGGGACGTCGGCCAATAAAATTAATCGCTTTTGCTACATCGCCTGAATAATTTATGCTCACTGCTGTGCCTGCAAGTTGACCGACCATCTCTCGCGCGCGACTGCGACCGCGACCGCGACGAGTGTGCGTAGCACGGTTCGCGAGAGAGACTCTCGTTCGTAAAAATGGCCATTTACTCCAGCACGAAGCTGCCGGCAAGCGGATTTAGCAACGTTTTCTTCTTAGAAAGGCATCCTTTAAAGCGCCCGCGAGAACATTAACACCGCCGCGAGAGACGCCGCGAGAGACGCGCATCTCGCCACGGCGCGCTACGAATTGCAATACTGACTAGAATACACAGAGTAAAAAGGAAAATGTAAATTTTTAATACGCTAAATCTTTAGCGTGTGTACAAAGTAATGTCAGTAATTTAAACGGGATGCGTTCACACACGCGAGATGTCTCTACAAATGTACTTTTTTCGTAGGTGCAACGATGTGCTACCTGCAACGTCCAATTACAATTGCTTTTTGTCTTGACATAAATCGATTCTTTTTGGTACTTTCTCTATTGAGAAGTAATCGAGATAAAATAGCCAAAAATTCAACATTTTCTATGAGACGTTACACACTTTATTCTAATACATGTTTTTTTATTTCATAAAATTTCAATCGCACATCATGTTGAACTTTGGAGAAAAATATCATCCAATAGTTTTGTCTATTGTCTTTACCTCTCATCGTTTTATCAAAGAGATATTCTCTGTTCGAACTGCTGGAAAATTATATCTCTTATAACATTTTTATAAAAAAAAAAAAAAAGAAAAAAAAACATTCTCTTATTAAGTTCTTATGGGACGTAAGCCCACAGTTTTTCGTGTCGTAACGTTTGCAAATTATTTTTATATCTCAGACATATATGTATAGAACATGACTCTGCTTTCTTGTATTAACTCACCAATTTCACACGTTGGACCCACGTTGTTTTCGAAACGACTCGTTCGATCGAAACGACGAGCGTTGCGACAGTGTTTCATTGCGTCCTACATGGACAGCGACTTTCTTCAATTTCCAAATACCGGATGCACGAAAGTCGTTGACTCGTAAAACCGCCGACGTGTCAATCGGCAATTTCTTCCGTGTCGTATCTGCATGGCCGCGCAACAATGTTACCGCCAGATGCGGCATGCATTATTCAATATACCCGGAAGGCCACTACGGAAGGTCCACCGAAGTCTCTCTTTTCCTCTCTCCTCTCTTCCACTCTCCGCGACTTGTATTTCTTTTTTCTACTATCGTTTCCCCCATACCTCTCGGTAAAGCTCACAGAAATGCGCTAATTGCGCTTAAACCGCGTGAGAGAGAGAGAGAGAGAGAGAGAGAGAGAGAGAGAAAAGAGAGGAGATGTAGTTCTCGTACTTCATATTTATGTATGTATATGCGTGTGTGTCAATAGTATTGACTGTTAAGACTCTATGTAGAAATATAAATCGCAAACGTCAGAGAAGAACATCTTTCACGTGGTTTGTGAAATACTTAATACGTGCACGTTAACTTAATCCTGAGTTATTTGCGACTGTCTCGTTTACAAGAGAACATAATTCGAGTGAAACGCCGTCGAATGACTCAAAATATATGCTTATTCACGGATATATAACCGCTCTTTAGAAACGCGATATTTAATCTAAGAGAAGACGGAAGGATATTGTAATGAAAAAAAAAAACTCGCGTATTTACTTGAGATTATAACAGAAAAGAACATTCAGAAAAGAGCTACTAAGAAAAGACGGCGAATTAAGTACAATGAAATGTTGTATGCAGCAAATTGCACATTGTGATCATTAATAAATATGTCTAAATTTACGTGAAAAAGAAAGAGAGGAAGGAGGAAGAGGTGGAAGGGAGACACAGAGAAACAAAGAGAAAAAGAGAAAAAGAGAAAAAAAAGTGCGAACACGCGCGAATTTTTCGTCGTTTATCGGGAGTGTCGTGTAGCACGGTGTAAGGTAGCACAGTAGCTATTAGAGGCAGGACGTAACCGTTCAAGAGCGAGTGTTTAGCCGAGCCTTCATAAATCACGCTAGGGCGACAAGCAATTATAATAACTGTAGCCGAGTATAAACGCGTAAATAAAATACCAAGCCCTTCGGCCGGGTAATGAGGCATACGAAGCGGGATGCTAACCAGTTCCAAGACTTGTTATCGTAACAGAATAAACAACGAGGGGGCACTTTCTCGAGGAAGTTCGTCTCGATCATCGATGTTTCGCGTAACTCGTAACGCGCGCGCGCGCGCGCGCGCTGTGCGATAATAACTGCACCGAACTAAAATAGAATTTATTATTACGATAAATCATTCTCACATCGAGCGCGAGTAGTAAAACAATCGAGGTGTATTGTAATAAAGCGTATATTCGCGGTTCTACCGCGAGTATGTCGGACCGAGTTGCAAGTAATTTCCCACGGAGATAGAGAAAATATTAATTTTTTCTCGAATGCAGAAAGAGCCAATAAGCCATTCGTTCAATTGCAAACACGAGTCATTGTTACCAATAACGATGAATAAAGACCGGACCGAGCTCTGTTGTAAGATATACTCCGAGAATATTAGAAAAATAATATTTAAACGCGAGAAACGCGGAAGGGGAAAGAATCGCTTATACTCGATTCAACCAGTTGTATTTCTGGCTACTTTCTATTATTTTCACGACGTTTACTTTGCTCTCGTGTTACGCTACAATACACGTTCCGTGTTACATAACACTGTTTACTCACGGGGAATTATGCGCCTATTTAAATAGACGTCTAACTCTCTTCAGCATAGCTCGCACACAAGTACGCACGCACAAATACACGTGCGTAGATGTACGCATACTTTAAACAGGACAGAATCCGATATCACGCTCTACCCACGTAGTCATTTTCCGCGTGAGGAGGTTCGACGAAAAAGCTCCAAAGTCTCTCTGAAGGTCACGGAGACTTCATCGACCGTGGAACTCGAGTCGAGTTTCAGTTTTCAGCGGAACGAACCCGGCGGATTATAGGTGGGAGCGAAAGGATCTTTGGCGCGGAGACGTGGCGAAAGAGAATTCACGCGAGCGCGAGCGCGGGGACGTGCGGACGAGAGGGGTACGAGGTACATCGTGCCGCTCGCCATAACCTTTTATCAGTTATCTAATTAGCCGTTGCATTTAATTAGCGACCCGAGGAGAGGGCCACGAGATAGCCCTAGTGGTGCCGTGCGAGACCGGCGCGGATACGAGCGTGCATGGCTATACGTAATTTTAATCGGCGCTCACGTCAGATAAGAAAGGTCGACGGATGGACTGGCATCCGCGCGCGCGCGCTTCGCAATTAGCCGTGTTTTTATTTATACGGCTATCCGCCGTTTATTGAGCTGGTGCTCACACGCGCGCGCGCGCGCGCGAAAGAGAGAGCGAGAGAGAGAGAGAGAGAGAGAGAGAGAGCCAGCATGAAGCCGTTCGATCAGCTGGCAAGAATTTTAAGGATCTCTAAGGACGCGGACATTATGCACTTTTCCAAAGTACGAAAGTCGAAGGGTGAATATCGCATTATAATATACCGCTGGTCGTACGAATTCTTTCTATCGGTTAAACAATAATCTCAACACTGGAAGCAGCGCGAGATGCCCTTACGTTCGCGAGTGAGTTAAAAATAACTTTGACATACGCTGAAGAAAAAACTTTATTCGCGTTATTTCGGTCTTAAGTAGTGCCGCTTGAAATTTTACCGCTAAAAATTCCTATTTGTTTCTTTATCGATTTAAAACGGTACGACTGTAACTTTTCGTGCACACAACGACAGAATAAATAATTAGATTGTAAACGTACAAGTAAAAAAGCAAGTTAATCGTGGGGAGAAAGGAAATTAATAAATTTTATTTTCTGCGAATCGTGCGTAAATACATCGTGCAGAAGAAGTTTGTCGAAATAAAACTCACCAGTGACGAATCTTCGATGAAAGCTCCGATGGTTATCACGTGTAGAACGACCTCGCGAATATTTTCAAGCTCATCTGGTGACGAATACGCTCCTTCGCTCAGGAAGTACGGCTCAGTGCTGGTCACTCTGTCAATAAAAATATAACATTGAAATAATTTTTAAGACGTAACCTGCAATATTAGATACCGATGTGAACCTGGTAAACAATTTAATAGAAAAAAAAAAATCTCAATACGGTTCGATTGTACTTCGTTTGTACCTGTTTGTATTACTTTTTGTTTCGTTTGTACCGCAAAGAATAAAAAGATAGAGGGAAGGGAAAAAAATGGTCAGCAAGCAAATATAAGATATCCGAAAACGGCCAACGCCATCCGAAAGAAAATCGTTTGTACCTCAAAGGAACAGGAACTACAGGATCTTCAAAAAACGTCCAAGAGGTACTTTCGCCAATTTTTGAGATATCGAAAGCACGATCGCGATCCGGCTTTGTTACGGCTTTGTACTTAGAAAATAGCCTTTTCCGAGTATTCGGCACTGGTGACATTCGTTCGTACGCGGAAACAATCGCGGGTAAACGAAAAAAACTGTAGAATGAGGAAACGATCGCGATTTTCTCGACCATACATAACTACGGTATACCGGAAACTAAACTAGCGGTTATATAATTTGTGACGTCACGCGCTTAAATGGATATTGAGTCTGCTACATTACCGACCTAATATAATGTTTGTCATGCACATTATTCATAAAGTAATATTATTATTAGTATATTAGTTACACAGATTACGAAAATTTTCACACGATAAATGTATGTACATTGATAAATAACTAAAAGGTAAAGTTGTTAGTTAATGGGAGCGATGTTCATCGGGCGTAAAAGATCCATGTTTTACGAGGGTTGCCTTTTATATTTCGGGAATGGACGATCCAGGTGCTGCCATCTGACAACCGACGTCCCTAACGTAAAGTTCGACATTTTGTCAGTATATTTACTCAGAACGTTGTGATGTCCATGCGCCATTTGTGTTGTTTACAGTGACATGAAAAATTGATGTCGGCCAAGAAATGGAATTAAATCGTGAACATTTCCGTGCGATTATTTTTTACAACTTTCGACGTGGATTATCTCAACAACAGTGCATCGATGAACTTAATTCGACTTTTGGCGATGAAGCACCATCAAAAACCACTATATATCGATGGTATACGGAATTCAATCGTGGCCGTAGTTCGCTTAGTGATGAATTTCGTGAAGGTCGTCCAAAATCTGTCGTTGTTCCAGAAAACATTGATGCTGTGCGTGAACTGATATTGCAAGATCGTCATGTGACTTATCGTGAGATTGAGGCATCCTTGGGCATTAGTGGGACCAGCATACATTCAATATTGCATGAACATTTGGCTGTCAAAAAAATTTGTTCGCGTTGGATCCCACATAATTTAACAATCGCTCAAAAAAAGGCTCGTGTCGATTGATCGAAAGAAATGCTCAAGAAATACGATTGCGGTGCTTCAAAACACGTCTATGATATCGTAACAGGTGACGAATCATGGATCTATGCGTATGAGCCCGAAAGTAAACAGCAATCGACTGTATAGGTCTTTCAAGATGAGCCATATCCAACCAAAGTTGTTCGCGCACGAAGCACTTCGAAGCAAATGGTCGCCTGTTTTTTCGGAAAAACCGGACATGTGGCAACTGTACCATTAGTGCAATGTCGGACAGTCAATTCTGAATGGTACACAACCATTTGTTTGTCAGAAGTCTTCGGAAAAATAAGGGAAACCAACCGCCGAAGACGCATCATTCTCCACCAGGACAATGCGAGCTCTCACACATCGGCTCAAACAAGAGACTTTTTGAGAACTGAAAAAGTCGAATTGATGGGTCATCCGCCGTACAACCCTGATTTGGCACCCAATGACTTCTTTTTATTCCCGCAAATCAAAAATAAATTACGAGGTCAACGTTTTTCGACGCCTGAAGAAGCGGTTGATGCGTTCAAAATGCATGTTTTGGAGGTACCTCAAGCGGAGTGGAAAAAGTGCTTCGAAAATTGGTTCAAGCGCATGCAAAAGTGTATTGATCTTCATGGAGAATATTTTGAAAAACAATAAACCCATGTACGATGATTAATTTCCTGTTTTTTGTTCTCTATTCCCGAAATATAAAAGGCAACCCTCGCACACATATAAAAGGAAATTACATCTCATAACAGTATTATAATTAGTATGCAAGTATTATCTATTATCATTTAAGAATATTATTTATTTAGAATTTCATGTTACTTTATGATTAAGACTGAGATACCTTTTTAAATAATTAAAAGATAAACAAAAAAATGAAAGATGTAGACACAGATTAATGTTGTCATACATTGTAAAGATTATACATATGAATAAGTATTACAGGTATTATAATATTATGATAAGAACGCTCATGATTTTAATGAATTTAATTTTCCTAACGATCCTTCGCAAGGAAATAACGCCGAGACTAATGACCGACATTTGGGTTAATATCGTACTATCGTAACTATCATGATATTAAGATATAATCGTGACGTATAATCGTACGTGTGCTTAGCGTATCATATAAAGAGCTTTATTCCAATTTAAATATATTTTTCAGTGGTACTTGACATATGAAAATGCTCGTAAACTTGGCCCAATGAACATCACGCCCATTAACTGATAACTTTACCTTTCGGTTATTTATCAATGCACATACATTTATCGTGTAAAAATTTTCGTAATCTGTGCTAATCATAATGTAACGTAATAATAATATTACTTTATGAATAATGTGCACAACGAACAATAATGTGCACGACCGAACATTATTAAATGATTTTGAAATGAATCTTTTCTCACAACTCAAACAAAGAAAGAAAGAAAACGGTAGCATATATATACACCGTTTATATTGTTAAGGTAAGACAAAGCATGTACAATGTTATATCTCGAGACTCTTCATTCTTCGAGTTCTTCAAATTCAATATAATTTGCAAAATTTGCAGAACATAGAGTCAAAATTTCGATTCAGAGAATTAGCAATTATATCAAGTGAAATAGATGACGGAGAATGCTTATCGTGAAAATATAAGAGAATGTATAATTATCTACAGTAATATTTATCGGATAATATAAATTCTGGTAACCGAAGAATATTTCTTATAGCATTTTTGATAATTTGATATCATTTAGATTGAGTCCTTTGAGATACTTCTGTTCTGTATTACACAGATTATTTTTCTAATTCTAAAATAAATCAATTCAAAATAATTTATTCTAAGATATAAGTCGTATCGGTCTTCTCAGTCTTTTTTCTCAATCGTACCGCTCATCGCGATTCTATTTGACATAGTCACACTTGCATACGCTATTGCCTCGCGCGATACGCAAAAGTATATCTCTCAGGTGACGTGGCTTATTTGTCTTTCGGCAATTACGCGAACGGGAAATTTATTCCGCGAGCATTCCGAGGTAAACGGGCCACATCGCGATAAATCACCAAACCTTGCGGGGGCCGATATTCTTCTTCTCGCCTCTTTTGCGGAACATTAATCTTTGCGCGGTATACCACTTTTTCCTCGTTCCTCGACTACATGCTAAAGTGTGAGAGTACGAGTGCTCTCATGGCGACTAACGTGCGTACTCCACGCACCGTTGCCGGGTTACGACAAGTATAATAAATATGTTCCTTCTCTGTTCTCTCTAAGATGCTTGAAGAAGGAGAGAGACAGAGACAGAGACAGAGACAGAGATAGAGACAGAGACAGAGACAGAGACAGAGACAGAGACAGAGAGAGAGACAGAGACAGAGAGAGAGAGAGAGAGAGAGAGAGAGAGAGAGAGAGAGAGAGAGAGAGAGAGAGAGAGAGAGAGAGAGAGAGAGAGAGAGAGAGAGAGAGAGTGTGTGTGTGTGTGTGTGTGTGTGTATGTGTGAGAGAGAAGGAAGGGGAGCAACGGGTAGGTGAGAAAAATCGAGCAGTTTGAACAGGCCGAGATTGCATGGCCAGGCAACATCAATTTCGAGGGTGATTCCCGGCACTGTCGGAAGAGCTCCGAAAATTTCGGATGCCCGCGTAATCGAGGAGCCTTCTCGAATCGAGTGTGTGGAGGTGCTCTTACTAAAGAATACCACCACCATCGTTACCTCTCTCTTTTCCTCACCCTTCTTTCTTCTTCTCCTCCTCCTTTCCTTCCTCGCTTTCTTGTTCCTTCAGCCTCCTTTTCGATCGTCGTTTTTTCCATCGTCCGCGATAATGATACCCACACGCTCTCGCTCGGTAATAATATTAATGGCTTCGTGTACCCGGGGACCATCGGAGGCCCGACAAAAAGAACATCGTGGGGCCCCTTACGCGGAGGAGCTCGTCGTAAGAAACGGCCTTGCGCCTTGCGGAGCACCACGCCGGGCATTATAAACGCAAAGCGTGGATTCGCGCGAGTTAACTCACACGGGCTCGTCTCCCGTGTTCATTCATAAGACCCATATCGCTATTCCCGATATAAAGCCGATGTGAATTGATAATTGGATGCGGATAATCAAAAAACCTCGCAGATTGCCGCGATACGATCGTTGACCGGCTAATGACTGTTCCGAGATGTTATCGTGCGTTCGAATTTTTACAGAATATTCACTTTTCTCGGGGAATCGTAATACGTGATTTCACGAACTGAAATCGCGAGTCTACTTATGCCATAAAATAGACTTTGTATCGTAATGAGAGAAAAAAGGAGGGTAAGATGTCGATGCAAATTCTATAATCCTGTTATACACGATCGTACGATCAGACTCTTAATATTTATAAACTTGTTACGTATGTATTTTTATTCTTTTATACGTTATATATACGCGCATAATAGAAAACTATTCAAAGGAGCCAATATCAAATTCAACGATCGTTTTCTTACTTAGTTTTCGCCGGGATATCCGTTCCGCCGCGCTCTCGTTCACTCCCCGTGCATTTGCACGGTGTTTTACTTTTCAAAATGCTAATCGGCATTTCGATTGAATGTAGTAGATAGAAGTAATTGCACGTAATTGCATTAAGAGATCAACGGCAAAGATTAATAAATATGTGTTAATATATGTAGAATCATAAAAATGACTTTTTGAT